GATAAACTCTTAACACTATCCTTTCCCTGACTATCCTCAGTAGGGACTCTGAAATAATTTGGACACTATAGCAAAAAATGGTTTATAAGTAAAAGTTATGAATGAACAAATTTAAATATTCATGTTAATGTTACCATATTTATACACAGGGGCCCAGAGACTTGGGTAAATTGAGGTTCTATTCAAACTAATAATTTTTTATTTCTACATAAAATTTCATTTTTGGATGTTCTATAATGTGTTAGATCGTTTTCTTGGAAATTTTAGTTGTTTTTAACTTTCTGCATTTTGGTTTGAAAAATATCTTTAAATATGAGTTTTTATTAAGATCTATTATTATTTCTTAAAAATTAAATTCTACTTGAATAGAATAAATGACTTGAAGGATGTATGCATTGACAATTTCCCACCTATGAGATTTTTACCAATTTATATCCAAATGTTAAGATAAACTGTATAAAATAGTAATTGCTAGTTTTAAACTATAAAAATTATAATTTCATAAAAATATGTGTTAAAATGTGCTTTTCATTGCATTCTTACCAATCTCTATCATTTTTAAAACATAAAAATGGTATTTTGTTGCCTTTTCATTCATTTATTTACTTTTATAATTCATTTATTCATTAATTCAGAGTGTGTTCATACTATGTTCAACCAGTATGACAGGCACAAGAATACAAATGGGACTAAGAACATTAAGCCTGCTGTTATGCTACATACAAATCTTTTAGAGAAAATTATCAATCAAATATTCTTAAACAGAAACATAAAATTTATATTTCATAAATAAATATAAATATGAAAATGCTATGACTGGCATGTGCTATGAGAATCTATAAGGAAACAGCTAATTTATATTGGGAGGATTTATATGAAAGGTGTCTCTGTAAAAGTGAAATTTTAACTGTTATCTAAAAGAGGAGTACATTTAACTAATGAGGAATTGGAAGAAAAGAATTTGAGAAGTAAAACTGTGGATTCAAAGACTTTTTGGCAAAACGATAATATTACACATTTATGAACTTGAAAGAGGATCTGAGTGGTTGAAACAGAGATTAGGCCAGTTGAATTATCTAATGAAATTGTACTGGATTAAATTATTATTCTTCTCATAAGTGCAATAGAAACATTGTAGGATTTTAAATAGTGTTGTGTAAAATATTTTCTCATGTATGTTTTGAAAGCATGTTTCTGTGTTGCAATATGAATACATTAGGGTAGGTTAAGCCTGGATATGGGGAGATAATTAGGCTATTTTATAGACCAAAAAATATATGAGGGTGACTTGGACTAGGGAAGCGGGGGTAAAGGCAGAAAAAATGTAATAGATTTGTGAGCTGTTTGAACAATTGGATGGATGCTTGCACTATTTATTGAAACACTGACAGAGGAAAATATCTGAAGGTAAGGTGATGAGTTTTGCGGAATTCAAAGGGCCTTTCAGACATCCAAGTAATAATGTTAAGGGGGTAATTGAGGGGTCCAAAGTGGCTCCCGCCAGAGGTCATGGCGCTCGCGAAGGTGAGGCCATCAGTTCAAGGCTAACCTGAGCAACCTCATAAGCTCAAACTGATTGGCAAAAAAAAAAAAAAAAAAAAAAAAAAAAAGGAGGTAATTGAGTATACATGACCACACATCAAAGAAGAGTTACCAATGGAATTTTACCTTTGTGAATTATTTGCTTCTTTGAGTTTTTAAGCCAAATACATGTATTACATATTAAAAAATTAAACTAAATTTTATAGAATAAAACAACTCTCTAAATCATGTAAATTTGTCAAATAAATGTTTAATAACAGCATGTTAATTTAAATGATATAATAATGTTATGTTTTAATAATTAGAGAAAATCTCTCTCTCTCTCTCTCTCTCTCTCTCTCTCTCTCTCTCTCTCTTTCTCTCCTTCTCTTTGTATAATGTACTACACATGAGTGCATAGAGAGAGAAAGTATATATAAAATAAAAAACCTGGGGAGCATTGTAATGTGGATGGGAGGGTCACATGTTGGCAATATTTGGGGGGCTGGGATAACTATGGGTAAAAGTTAAATTTAACTTTCTAATATACATTTTTTTTTTACTGTGAATGTGTGGCTCTTATAATGAATAAAAAAAAATACGTTTAAGTAGAAGACTGGGAAAGAAGATGAATCAGGATCAGTGACGGGGGACTGGGATAAAATTGATTCCAAGAGCTTTTCCATATATTGCAACATTGAGTTATCTGCTTCTCAAGCTATCTGTAAAGTTCAAGTGAGATAAAAAAGATAATTCAATAGAAAATATGCTTTATCCTTTCTTGCAGTTTTACCTCTGTATCAAACCAGGTCATCTGAAAACTTTGCTCAGATACCTGTTTGGTACCTGAAAGTGTCGTTTACTGAGTTCTGTTTTGGTACCATCTCTTTGGCCCACTCGGTGAAATGCTAAATAAAAATCCATAGGAAACCTGCGTTTGCATTTCTGACCGTGTGCTTGAAGATATTTTCTTCATTTTACTCATACAAATAATTCCTTGAAACTTAAGTATCAGAAATTATTTAGCACTTAAGGAGTGTGTCTGTACTGTCTTAACAGATAGTATAAACCATATTACTAATTTTATTTCCTTTTTTGTGTGATTATCAAGAAACTCATAGACATATTTGAAGTTTAACTTTTATAAGAAATTAAGACTCTTTGACCAGAATGTCTACTTTACATGTTTACTTTGGCATGGCTTCATGTATATAACAACTTGGTCTTGTTTTATATTTATGTGTTTTTCTCCAATCTTATTTTTTTATTCATGTATAGTTGTCTGCTCATTGTATGGATCCTTATGTGTCTATAATCCAGAAGAAAACCAATTAGACAAAAAAAGATGAGAGCTCTCTAATCAAAGTGATAAAGTCATTGTTCTGGATGAGACAGGAAATAAGAAGAAAAACAGTCCCAGAATTTAGCATAAGGAACTTTTGCATTTAATCATTATGTACTGACAGAGATTCAGAAATATAGCCATGAAAGAGAGGCAGAGGAGGAAGGATATCAGAAAACCTGGAAGCCAAGAGGTGAGACTTCCAGGCAGTAGCCACCTGTGAGGACTATTGTTCATAGGTCAAAGAAGTCAAGGACTGAAATGTTCCCTGGATTTCTCAGTGACGCTCTTTGGATAGTGTTGGGAAAAGTAATCAAATTTGAGTGGTTCGAAGAACAAAGCACATAAGGAAATGAAAATGAGTATGCTTCAGATTTTATAGCATATTGTATACTCGAAATTTTTAAATAGTATTAATGATTAATGTTTTCCATAAAGAAATAGTAAAGATTAATAGTATTCATTAATTCAAACCAGTGACTGTAATAAGATGGCACTAAATGATTATTTAAAATAACTCCAAGACAATCCCATCAATGTTGACAGGAAGAAATGAAAAGAGAAAAGAATGACCTTTTTCCCTCCTTTATAACTGAAATAGAGATTTCACACACACTAAAATTTTCTTCAAAGTTCATATTGCATCATTAACCTTTCAAGAAGATTGTAAGGATTTATAACATTATATGCTAATACCTCTTGCCTTAATCAAAACATCAAAAAACATATACTATAAGAAATGAAAAAAGGCAGCAAAACACACAAGGAAGCTGCTCAAGCAAAAAGAACACTTACTTCTATCTTGGTGTAGTAAGATTGGAGGCAATTTCACTTGTTCCCCAACTGGAGTCTAATTTTTTCATCATTTGCACTCCTATACATAGTAGAAATGAAGGGGTGCATATGCATGGATAATCAGAGATAAAGGACAAAGGGAAGATGACAAATTTAGAGACTTTTTAAAAAGTGTCATTTTGTGTTTATTTATTCTAGTTAGTGGCTAGTAACCTCTCCTCCTATTTAACCCTTTGGGCCTAGCACATGAAAATATTCTCTAGAGATATATGTTACTAATACCTCAGTGCTCAGTATTTCAAAATAGTAAACACAGAGGATGAACTTATGGAAATAACCTGTTTTTTTCTTATCTTTTAAATCATAATGACAGCTGAAATATCATGAGAATTAGTATTTATCCCCATTTCATTTTAGATGGGTTTGTTAATGTCTAAAATGATTTTTTCATGAATAAGAACTTAGAGACTTCCAGATAAAGTGACGTCACCCTCATGTATCCCCCATGCAACTGCCTCACAAAGCTGAGACTGAAATCAACTGTTGTGGTTCATTTTCACCATAATGTTGAATTAAATTGCAGCCAGCTTTCAAGAACAGATAGGGATTCACCATTGTATTTCCACAAACATCTGTACTTTGTAATGTTCAACATGAGAAGGCAAATGCACACAAAGTTTTAAAAAATTTGGTTACACACTTCCAGACACACGGTTTACTCAGTCCCTAGCCTCTGCAGATTACTGAAAATTAAATCCAATCTGAGATGTGGTGGAAAATGCTAGTTTACAGTAGTCTTTTGGAGACTGTGTGTGGCCTTTGCTAGTTCCTCCGTGACTGGGAGGCCAAACCAATGTTGGCCTTGGGGCAAGTCTAGGGAATAGGGAAGGCTGAAGAGGGAAGGGTGGAGGGAGACTCATTTACCACTTCTCTGCCAGAATAGTGACAGACAGATGGAAGGCCAAAAAATGCACTTTACAGATGACAAATTTTGTTGAAAAGTCATTTGGGAAAGTTTGCTAGTACTTAAACGTTTCTAGGTAAGTTTGTCCTACTCGGAATGTCAGTTTCACATGTCCCTCATTAGCCTTCTTCAGTCCCTCTAGATAGATATCCTTAATAAGGCTCAGTGATTTAAGGCTTGACTATTGAAGGCCAAGGAAGCAGAAACTTGTTCAGCCACTGGAGGGCTACAAAAGGGTTAGTGTCCTCCTTTCAGCAAACATTCTTAATTTACTTTCGTATACCCCGTTATGTCACCATTGCCTTTGTAATCTTATCCCAACCCCCAGATCTTTTCTTTCCCTTCTCCCTCTTTCCTCCCTCCCTGTCCTCTCCTCACCTGTCCACCGCAATGGCTGTCATGGAGTAGATGCTGGCGAACACAGCTGTGATAGGAAAGAAGTTCTGGAAGCGGCAGTAGTTGGCACCGAAGTACCACTCGCTATGAAGCGCGTAGATGAAATTGACCAACGTGTTGAAGGCGGCCATGGAGGCGTCGGAGAAAGCCAGGTTCACAAGGAAGTAGTTGGTGACAGTCCTCATGCGCTTGTGGGCCAGGATGATCCAGATGACGATGAGATTTCCAAAAACGGCCACTGCCACCACCACACCATACGCCAGGGACCAGAGCGCGATGCGCCAGGACGGCTGCACGAACTGGTTGGTGAGGTTGGCCCGGGGCTGGGGGGGCGCGGGAGAAGCCAGCAAGGAGTTGGAGGAGGAGAGGTTGCCAGCTTGGACCAGCAGTTGCAGCCACCCAGGCTCATCTCCACCCCTGGCCGCCCCGGCAGCTAGCGAGGCAGTCAGGTTCCCGGCGTCCGCACCCACGTCTCCACCGCCGTCTGTCCAGGTTTCTGCTGCTGGGAGAGTGGTCATCGCCACCGGTCTGCAGTCCCGGACCTTCCCACTCACTCACCCACGGGCAGCCAAACAGACTCCTCTGAAGTTCTCTGCCTCCTGGTCACTTTGGTGCCGGGTCTTCAGACACTCCTGGAAGTGGAAAGATAAGGTACTGCAATCCCTGCTGGTTATGGGATGCAGCAGGTGATAAGGAGCAGGAGCCGCACTTTCTCAGAGGAGCTTGCCGCTCTGGAGGGCAGGAAGAACGAGACCCTCGAAAGATTCAGGGTTGTCTCCTCCCACCACAGCGAGAGCCCCAGCTGCCCGGCACAGGCTGAAGAACTGAACACCCTGCGCTGCAGGCGAGCTTTATACTCTCACGGAGTCCCACGCTTCGGTGACGTTGCGGGGGCCGCGGAGCTGACCATCCCCTTCGCTGGCTGTGATTGCACTCCCTCTCTCCATCCCGACTTTCGCATTTCATTAATTCGCTACTCGTCACCAAGCAGCTGGAGCTTGGCGGGCTGATCTGCGCAAGGGAGCGCTGCACTCCCTCAGCTGTAATTAACATTTTCTAATATTGTTTTGCCTTCTTTTAACTTTAAGATATTTTGCTGACGTCACTGTTCTCAAACATGTATTGGGGGCTGTTATTTCTTGCTCAATTTAAACCATTCACTCACAAGGCAAGGGCAAGATCCTAGTTGATTTTTCGGAGAGTGTGCATGAGTGTAGACTGCTGCAGGTCGTGGGCACAGTCAGCCGCAAACGCAAACGTTTTTAGGTGTCCCTGGGTTTTGAATTTCATTCAACTTTCTGCTCTGGTGTTCATGTTTTCTCGTCTTAGACGAGGACACATCCACCCGTTTTCCCTCTTTCTGTATTTCTATCACTAGAAATGAGTCCCTCTGACCTCATTAGCAGCAGCAGATGGAGACTGTGGTTTCTCCTGGAGGATTCTGCTCAGGTTAGAATGTCATGGCACACAGAGGGTAAATCGCAAATCCCAAGGAGTATATTTTCTTGAACAGATCTCTACACTTCCCTGGGTTGCACATATCCAATATGCACCGTAAATACACGCTCTTGGTTACAGGGCTCTGGACATACGGTGCCTTAGTTTTCAGGGCTTGACCACGAGGACACACTGATGAGAACACGGTATATGAACAAATACTTGGGTTTCCCGGGAAGACGGGCAGGACCTGATTTCTAAACTTTCCTGAGAGTAGTGAGCTAAAGCGCTCTGTAGAGTACATGCTGAAAGGACATAACCTGTGCTTAGACCAATCTCAGGAAATTTATAGAGCTGAAACTCCTTTATTAGCATCCTGGGGGCATATGAATAAATTTAGATTTAAGCGTATATTTAACTACCTACTGGTTAGACTTGAACTGTTTGAACCTCTGTTTCGTCACTTAAAAATGATTTTTTAAGTCCGGGCACGGTGGCTCAAGCCTGTAATCCCAGCACTTTGGGAGGCCGAGGCGGGTGGATCACGAGGTCAAGAGATCGAGACCATCCTGGTCAACATGGTGAAACCCCGTCTCTACTAAAAATACAACAAATTAGCTGGGCATGGTGGCGCGTGCCTGTAATCCCAGCTACTCAGGAGGCTGAGGCAGGAGAATTGCCTGAACCCAGGAGGCGGAGGTTGCGGTGAGCCGAGATCGCGCCATTGCACTCCAGCCTGGGTAACAAGAGCAAAACTCCGTCTCAAAAAAAAAAAAAAAAAAGATTTTTTTAAAAGGAATTAAATTTACAGTATAATTACAGGATAATTTCTACAGACTTCCCTTATCAACACCAGGCAGGAGGAAACACCCTTCCCTCTAGTTATCATTGTGTATTACATCTAAACATGTTTAGGTGAAATGGATCTGATCAACAAGTTTTATCAAAAGAAGGCAATTTGTGATTTGTACACATTCTGTTTTTTTCTTTCTTTCTAGAAAACTTTTTGTTCTGTCACCCAAGCTGGAATACAGTGGTGCAATCATAGTTCACTGCAGCCTTCGACTCTTTGCTCAAGTGATCCTTCCCCTCCTCAGCTTCCTAAGTAGCTAGGACTACAGGTATGTGCCACCAGTGCCACCACACCCAGCTAATTAAACAAAATGTTTTTGTTGCCATACTGTCTTGCTATGTTGCCCAGCCTGTCTCCAACTCCTAGCCTCAAGCGATCCTCTCAGCTCAGCCTCCCAAAGGGCTGAACCTCCAAAAATGTTGAGATTACAGGCATGAGCCACTGTGCCTGGCTTTTCCGCATTCTTTATTTTCCAGTTTAAAATGTATTCTTCAAAGAACCTGCTGTGATTATGGGGCAAATGGACTTAAGGTGCCTAATGATGAATAGTGTTTTCCTTCTTACAGTTATTATGACTAAATGGCTAGTGCATAAAAATAATTTTAAGAAACCTGATAGTTATTAACACAGTCTTGATACAACACTACTTCAAAATAAATGCATGCTGAACATGATAATTATCAAATATTATTTTTCTTTTCTTCTGAGAGGCCTGTGAAATTATGTGATAAATCATTGGCAAAGTCAATAAAGATTCACATTTTCTGCTTAGAAATCCAATGGTTTAACCATTTTCTTTTGAAAGATTACTTCTTTCTTCTAATTCACCATCTAGAAATTACTTGAGTTACAAATAAAGCCTCTTCCTTTCCCAATGCAATTAAAAAGACATTAAAAATACATCTTTATATGACACACCTGCTTCCTCAAGATTATAAAATAGGTTATGTGGTGGTTTGGTAATTAAGCATGTTTTGATCAAATTTTTAAAGTTGAAAATCACTTCATTGTGTAGAAATACAGTTATTTTATTGTTCCTTTTCTTATAATACTTACAAAGAATATTTTAATTTTTTCAGTTTTGTCTTCATTGGGCTTATACAAAAGCAGAGGGAATATGTCAAGAAAAGTAAGGATAATAATGGACTTAGAAATAGAGGTAATGAGAGAAGTTTAAAAGTTTATTCTTTTCAGAGGAAGGGAGGGATTCAGGGCATGGCTTTCCTTCTCAATCTACCTTACCTACTGAGAGTGTCCCTTGCTTCCAAGAGGGATCAGTGATAATTCATTGTCTATCATTTCTTAGATATGTATTTGTATACTTCTTTCCAGGTGCTATGCCAGGTGCTGGGAGTGTAGCAATGAAGCAGTTATATATGAATTCTATTCTCATGAAGCCTAGAGTCTAGCAGTATTTTTTTTAACATTAAAGTGAGTACAGAAATAGAAATAGGAAGGTACAGAGAAAAATGGGAGTGTTAAACTGTGTAAGGCAATGTGGTGCCCACTGGATTCTGGATTCTGCCAACTTCTATAAATGTTTGAGATGATGGACATGCTAATTACCCTTATCCAATCACTATACATTGTACATATCAAAATATGTACCCCATGAATATGTAAAATTGTTTGTTAATAAAAATAAAAATTTGAAAATATTTTAAATAAATAAAAAGTAAAAGCATGGTCATCCCCAGTATCCAATTAAGAATAATTTTTGCGTGAGGATGAAATGAAATTTCAAAAAGAAAAACTTAGCAAAAGCGTATGCCTTAAAGAATGAGAAGGTTTAGGAGTTCATACTTGAAGATGAGATTTTCTGACAAAGACAATTTGGTGGAATATCTGCTTGTTATAGCCCCAAATTCTGGATCCTGTTCTTATCTGAGCCTATTCAGTTGATTTCCTAATTCTTCCTTATGCTTTTTCTCTTACTATAATATCTCCAAAAATCTTAGCCTTGGAGTACTGAGGGAAGGAACAGAGAGGGCAAAAGAAATGGTAGAACATGAGAAAATGATGCATAGGGTAGGATCCTAGATTCTGGTATTTAAAACTTGGAAGTGTGTATGAGCATGCACATATGCAAATGTATGAGGACATATATGTCAAGCACACTAGACATCTTGAGAGAAGGTGTTAACTGTTTTTAGATAACAGCAAACTAAATTGGTTTGACTACATAGTATAAATTATGATTATTTGTATCCTTACTGTTACTATTTATTCTTAAGGCTAACTATTGCTTACTATTTATTCCTAATGACCAAGAAGTTTGTCTATTTTCTTATGAACTATAATATTTAGAAAAATATATTTCTTCTAAATGGTTTTTCCTTTCCATTTAGAAATATTTTGCTTGGAATACCTACTGGCAATATCCCCAATTATATGCTAAAAATTATAAAGAAAATGGATACTTTTCTTCTGTTGATTTTTTTTCTCTCTTAAGACTTAGTGTGGTATACTTCATACTTGAATTTTTATTATAACAGGCCTCCCGAAAATAAATGTAATAAGGTAAAATTTGAGGTTGTGTTGCTGGCTAGTGGAGGAGTTATTTTTGGGAAGAAGAGCTTGTCAAAATTCCAGATTTCTGTCTCTGACAACAATCTTCTACTTGACAGTTCTCTCACACGTTTAGTGTTAGTATATTCATTGTTTCCTACCATGTTGAGATATTTTTTTCTTCCCTACCAATTTCCGATCATCGTAGCCTAGCCCTTTTATGCTTGCATTATACTTCTTTCCTTTGTTATTTCGTTAGCATAGTTTTGCAATTTTATTCAGTCTGTTCCACTCTGTGAGTTTTGAAGTCCTGCAATCAGCTACTGAGCATTGCTGACAATCAATCAAGGCACCTCCACTCAATTATGCTGACAGGTCCTCCTTAAAAATTCTTGTACTTCAGCAGACACTCTCTCCATGTGGAGTTGAAATCATTTCCTATTTCCAAAATTCTCATCAAGTCTTCAAATCTCTTTCTTATATACCTTCCTTCTCATACTCAGCAAATGTTACTGTCTCCAATTGATCTGCAAAATTAAAAACTGTCAGCCAAGAATTTTGACATTTCTGTGGATTTTACCTGGCTTTTCATTGTTTGTTATTATGTAAATTACAGTGGTTTTCCCCATCCTAAAACCCATTCTTTGATCTGTACGACGTGTTCTTTCAATCATTCATCTTTCCCCCTCTCTTCAACATCTCATTCTTCCTCCCCTTTTTAGTAATGAAACACATCTAAGAATCTACATTAAAAATAGCCTTTCTTGACCACATCCACTTATAATTACACTTTTATCTCTTCTTCATTCCTAGGTGAGCTGCTTTAATGACATATCTAAACTCGATATTTTCCCTGCTTTACTCAAAATGTAATTTTTAAGTGTTAAATATTATACTCTTCGGTCAATGTACTCTCCTACCAATTACCTGCATGCTAAACCAAATAGTCACTTCCCTTCCTTAACTTTCTTGACCCTTCTGTAGCAGTATAATTTGGCATTTGCATTACTTTCACAGATCTATCGTAACAAAGTACCACAAACCAAGTGGTTTAAAACAATAGAAATTTGTTTTTCACCATTTGTGAGACTAGAACTCTGAAATCTAGTCATGGGAAGGTTAGTCCTTCTGGAGTCTCTGAGGGAGAA